TTACCTTGGGTGTTCTAAGTTCTTTTCATTTCCATATGAATCTTAGAATCAGCTTGTCATTTTCTACAAAAAGACCCGCTGGAATATTGACTGGGATTGCATTTAATCTGTAGGTAGAATCGTCATTTTAACAATCCATGAACACTTCATATGTCCACATAGGTTTAGGTCTTTAAAGAATTTGTCTTAGCAATATTCTGTAATTTTCAGTGTACAGAACTACATGTCTGTCTGTAGATTTATCCCTAAGTATTTCCTATTTTTGATGCTTTTGTTATGGTAATTTTTAATACTGAAATTTCTGGAAGAGTTTATATAGAGTTGGTGTTATTTCTTCCTTAAATTTTTCGTAGAATTTTCCAGTGAAGCTGTCTAGACCTGGATTTTTCTTTGTGGGAAGGTTTTAAAGTTCAATTTCTTTTATAGCTGTAAAAGTTTCTAGGCTATTGATATCTTTCTGAGCGGCCTTTGGTGGTTTGTGCCTTTCAAGGAGTTTGTCCATTTCATCTAAGTTGTCAAACGTATTAATATAAAGTCATCCATACAGTTCACCTGTTCTCTGCCTTTGGTATCCTTAATATTGCTGGAATCTGTAGTGATGACACCCCTCTTCTCGTAGAGGTATTTTGTGTTCTTTTTTTCCTAATTATTCTGGCTAGGGGTTTATTCATGTTGATCCAAAAAGAAACAGCTTTTGTTTTCATGATTTTACCTGTTTCATCAATTCCCACTCCTGCCTTTATTATTTCTTTTCTGCTCTCTGCTTTGGGCTTCATTTGCTCTTCTGCTTCCCTAAGGGGGAAGCTGAGGTCATGAATTTGAGATCTTTTTTCTTTACTGATACAAGAGTTTAATGTAGTAATTTGTCTCAAGAATTGCCTTAGTTGCATTCCACAAGTTTTCATTAATTTAAAATTCTAATTTCTCTTCATTTCTGTCACCCATGGGCTATTTAGAAATATGTCAGTTGTTTGCATATAGCTGGGTGATTTTCCAGATGTCTTTCTGCTGTGAGACAGCGTACTGTAAGATTTGTGTCATTATAAATTTATTGAGATTTGTTTTATCTCAATAAATTTATTATTACTTTTAATATTAATATCTATTATGGTAGATGTTACATATGCCAATGAAAAGAATACAAATTCTGCTCCTGCTGGGTGGAGAGTCCTGTAAACAGTGGTGGGTCCGGCAGGGTGGTAGTGTTGCTCAGGGTGTCTGTGCCCATCCTGATTTTCTGTTCTCTCAGAGAGGGGTTGAAAGTCACTGTGAGTTTGTCTGGTAGCAGTTCTGGCAGGTTTTCCTCCATACTTGAAAGCTCTGCTGTGGATGCACAAGCATTCAGGATTATCATGTCCTTTGTCACTATTAAATGACCTTCTTCATTCCTGGTGATGCCATTTGTTGTGAAGTCACTTTGTGTGATGTCACCTCCAGCTTCCTTTTGATCAGTTAGTTAAATGTTTTTCCATTCTTTGATTTTCACCTATTTGTGTCCTTATTTTTAGCGGGTTTCTTTTAGGTGGTATATAGTGGGGTCTTGCTTTTTTACCTATGTGATAAAGTCTGCCTTTTAATTGGAGTGTTTAAATCACCCTGTAAGTTTATTGACTAGGCAGAATTAATGAAAATCTACTGTTTTGTCATTTGTTTTCGGTTTGTGCTCTCTGTTTCCTTTTCCCTTCTCTCCGCCTTCGTTTGGGTTGCACATTGGCATTCCATTTTGTCTTCGTTGGCCGCTTCGCTCTCACGCGTGTGTCAGTGTAGTGTGTTCATCCCAATCACGGTCCGCCTTCTGGTGGCAGGCCGCTCGCCTGTGGTACGAGGCCTTAAAGCTGCTCTTCCTTCCCGGCTTTTGTGCTATTCTGTCCAAGTCTTACTTCTGCATGTTGTAGACCTCACAGTATAGTATGCATATTTTTGCTTTAAATAATTCTAGGGTGATAGCTTTTTCTTTTTTCTTTTCAGAACTTGAAAATATTGTCTTCCAGCGTGCATTGTTCTGGAAAGGTCCACTGGTGTCTTTCTCCTTGTTTTTCTGTGTGTAATATGTCTTTCTGTTTTGGCTGCTTTAAGATTTCCTCTTTGTTGATGGTTTTAAGCAATGGACTGTGCTGTGCCTTAGTTTTCTTTATATTTCCTGAGTTTGGGGTTTATTGAGCTACTTGGATCTGTGGGTTCATAGTTTTAATGAAATTGGGAAGTTCCTCAGCCACTGTTTCTTCAAACATTCAGTCCATCCCCTCCAAGGGCATTCGGGTGCTTGAGGTTGTCCCACAGCTCACAGTTCAGGTTTTCCAGGCATTTTTCTGTCTGTGATTTAGTTTAGAGAGAGTTTCTGCTGTTGTCTTCAAGTCACAAAACTGATGCTTCATCCTGTCTGCTGTGGTTTTCATCTCAGGCAGTGGATGATTTCTTTTGTAAATCTTCCATATCTCCTCTACTTAACATGTTTCATTTTTCCTCTAGCTTCTTGAGCATTTGCAGTATAGTCACAACTTTTAATGTCCTTGTCTATTCTATCATTTGTATTGTTTCCGAGTCAGTTTTAATTAACTGATTTTTTTTTTCATCTTGTCTGTAATTTCCTGTTTCTTTGTATGTCTGGTGGTTTTATATTGAATGCCAGACTTGGTGAGTTTTGCCTTTTTGGTTGCTGCATATTTTTTCATTCTTAACACCCTTATCCTTGAACTTGGTTCTGGGATGAGACTTGGAAATAATTTTATCCTTTCAGCTCTTACTTGTAACTGTGTGAGGCAGGACTGAGCAGTGTTTAGTCGGGAGTTAATTTTTTCCCACTAATGTGGCAAAGGTCTTCTGAGTACTTGACTCAGTGGTCCATAAACAGGTCCCGTCCACGGCCCTGCTGAACTCCGGTTTTTGTGCCATCTTATCTTTCAGGCGGGCTCCTTGCCCGGCCTGGGGCGGCTTGCTGAGACCGCGTACTGGGGGCGCTGTGCTCCGCACCCGCGGGCCCCTCCGCAGATCTCTGGAGTCTGTCTGCCGCAGCTCTCTCCCCTCCGGGGCTGTGCAGGGCGAGGTCCTGCCAGTGCTCTGCTGCCTGGCTTGGTTTCTCCCAATTTTCAACAGCATCCACTCACCTCCAGGTGCCTCACGGGCCCCCCTGGAGCCCCTCTCCCTGCTCTGCAGCCTGGAAATGCCCTTCACCTCACCCCACGGGGTTCCTGACGCTCGGAGGTCACTGCCCTTTGTTGCCAGATGTCCACTGTCTGGAGAACTGATGTTTTCTTATATTTTGTCCTTTTTACTTTTTTCCAGTTGTTTCAGGTGGGTGGTTAAATCCATCCCTATGACGCCATCTTGGCTGAAAGCCTTATACAGTGTAAAGCATTGCAACTTCTTCATCAGTGTTACGTGTTTTATGAAGGCTTTCCTTGTGGTCAGATTGAATCCTTCCACCGCAGTGTGTGGCAGGGGTGGGGAAGAGCGAACACTGAGTCCACGGCCCCTTCCCCGGCCTTGCTCCCGCCTCACCTGGGACCCAAGGACACTCAGGCTGGGCCTGGCCCTAGGGGCACACGGGTGGGGCTGTGCCCGTCTGCCCCTCCCCACAGGGCCCTCTGGAGAGGCGCTCTGCTGCCGTGCGGACGCTGCGGCCTGCGTGGGGCTCAGGGAGGGCTCGGGCCTGGCGTCCACGTCCTGCCTGATTGGATGGGCCCATCTTTCCGACAGATCAGCCGTGACTGACTGACAGCTCCGCACAGGCGCAGGTGCAGGGAGCCCCCTCCACTGCCCGGTGCCGGTGGGCTGATGGTGGGGCAGGGGAGGCGACCGGAAGCCACCCGTCTGTTTCTCTGCCCTGCGCCGTCGGCTGTGTGGCCGACTTCGCCTCTCACGCCTCACGGTTTTCCCCTGGTCCCATGGTTTTCCTGCTTACCAGCCGCCCCCTCGGGTCAGGAGTCTGCAGACTGTCCTAAAGGATGAGGGAGGAGATATTTCCGGCTCTGCAGATCGCGTAGTCGCTCTGAGAACCACGCGTCTCTGCTGATGCAGTTAGAGGCGGCCGTAGACCGACCGCACGTGCTGGCAGCCGACACACCCAGTAAGACTTTATGGGCAGGAGTGGGCCTGGGGCCTGCCTTTTGCCAACCCCTGCCTCAGTTCACCTACTTTGCCGAGTTATTTAATATTTTTGTCTGGCCCCCCTATGATAATTGCTTCCAGAAACCATCACCAGTAATACCTTGCTTAAAACACAGATCTTAATCATGTTGCTGTGGCTCCCTGCAGCGTACTAAGTCAAAGTCAGAATATCTTACCCTCCACACGCCCGTCATCTGGCCCTTGTATTTCTGATCTTATCTCCAGTGGTTCTCCGTCTGTCACTCAGACGCAGTCTGCTGACATGCTCTTCTGCCCCGGGGTATTTCCCGAGCCCTGCTTGTTCTGGGATGCCCTTCCTTTCCTGTGGCATCACATGTGCCCTCTGACGCCATGCGCCTGCCTCGGGAACCCTGTTCACGTCCCACCTTCTTTGGGAAGCCTTCCAGAGCCCAGTGATGGGGGCAGTTTCTCCTTCCTTCACGCTGTTTGTGCACTCCTGTGTAGCGACCTCCATTCGCTGCCAGAAACCCAAGTGTGTGTGTGTCCGTGTGTATGTGTGGCCTCCGTATTGACCCAGAATCCCTCCAGAGGTGAGAGGTGTGCCCTCTTGGGTCTGTCTCATCTGTGGTCCAGGCAGAGCCTGACTCAGGCAGGAGCGTGGCCAGTGTGTGTGTGAGGTGGCTCATAAGGAGCAGTGCCTCGCAGGGTGCACTGCTCTGGGGACACATGGCATTGTGGGCCCAGCTCTCGGCTGCTCCTCGGGGCTTACGTGCAGGCCGAGGAGAGATGGGCTGTGGGCAGGCTACCTGGGGCCTGGCCCAGGTTCATGGGGCCCGGGCAGTGGCAGGACCAGGCGGTGGCAGGCCTGGCCACTCCAGGTCTCTGCTACGCCTGCTGCTTCCTCAACAGCCTCTTGCCCTTTGGTTCCACAGAGCTGCGGTGCAACCCTGGGCAGTTTGCCTGTCGCAGTGGCGCCATCCAGTGCATCCCCCTCCCCTGGCAGTGTGACGGCTGGGTGACTTGTGAGGATGAGAGCGACGAAACCGACTGTCCAGGTGAGTGTATCAGGCAGGTGGACACATGTGGCCCCTGCCTCACTGTTGTAGCTGTGTGCTTGTGCTTCTCACGAGGGGGCGATGGTATCAACCCGTAACCTGTGCTCTGTCCCTGCACTGGGAGGTTGTTGGGAGCTGACCCCCTCCCATCTGTGTGTCTCTTGTCTTTTTAAAAATAGATGCCTAACACTGGCAGATCCCAGAACTTGCAAGAGGCAGGGTCAGGGCTGTGCTGAGACAGAGAGGCGCCCAGGACGTGCACCTGCAGCCGTGCTGCCCTCTTGCCCCCTCACCTGGCTCTGGATGCAGGCACCTTTTGCAGCATGGCTAGAAGCCTGCTGAGGGTCATCTAGGCCTGGGCTGTGTCTGTGTCCTGCTCAGTCACTACTGATCTTTCACATGGGCGTTTCCTCCTGGTGATGTGTGGGCTCCTAAAGATGTATGCAGATGTCACAGGGACTCCAAGTTGCTGGTTCTCTGCTGGGTTTCTGCCCTTGTGCCCTCGTGGAGTGTAACACACACGGGAGCAATGGTGCTCACTACAGCCCCGGTTCTGTACTGGGGTTAGGGCGCAAGGTATAGGGTCTCACGTGCTCATGCGTGTGTGTGTGTGTGTGATGTGCTGACATACATGTACATACACTGATTTGTCTAAGACCTCTAGGTGGTTCTGAGAAAGCCCCAGAGAGGGGAAGGGTGTCTTATTCTAGCTTGAGAATCTCAGACCTACATTCATTTGGTCGGGCATTCAAATTTCTTCACAGTCTGGCTTGGTTCTACTTTGCTGACCTAATTTATCACTATTTCCCCTTCAGTGGCTCTGCTGAGCTGCTTCTTGTGCCACCGCAGTAATAATTTCCTAGCCACATGCTTCCTTTATGCCTTTCTCGTTTCCTGGGATGCCCTTGTTCTGTTTCCATGCGTTCTGTGTCCTGTTTGTCCTTCAGGGCTTGGCTCAGATGATAGCACAGCAAGTGGGCATCTCTGGGCCCTCTGGCTTGAGGTTGGCTTCTGCCAGTACCGGCCTTTCCCTTTCTGACAGCATCTGAACCGCTGGTAATGCTCACTGTCACCAGTGCCCATGCTTGATGGTGCCTTCCAGCTTGTGAGCTCCCTGGGGGCAGAACACCTGTCCTCCTGCTCAGTGGGACGTGGCCTATGATGGGGTCCTTTGCAACATTCAGTAAATGAAAGAAGAGGTGTATTTCCTCTAGGCCAGGTGCTGTGAGAAAACTGATTGACTCCAACCAGGGGGATCAGGTATAGCATCAAACAGAAGAAGACATTCGAGCTTGGGGCATTCCAAAATAAACAGCAAGAAGCGATCTGCTCAGATGCGTTTGGTGCAAGACGGCCATGTAGAGGGGCGCCCCTGACTGCCCCCTGAACCTGTTCTTCCTTTGCTGGGCTGTGCGTGTGTTTGGTTGAGGTGTTTGCCTTCCCACGTGAGTGTTTGGAAGGTGGTGGCCGGGCCAGGGGCCTCGGGGATAGTCCAGTGTCTGGGAGCCCACCTCGTTGTTCCCTGGATCTCCGCCCAGAGAGCGTGCCTTCCTGGTGCTCGGGATGCGGCTGCCCTGTGCTCGGTCAGACCAGTGAGTACCAGCATGGGTGCTGGGGCTTCCTCGGGTCTCACAGGGTGGGGCTTAATATCCAGCCTCCTGTCGAATTTCTGAACAAAGGACCAAGTGATTCTTGGCTTGCTTTAAAATGGAAGCACCCTTTGGCTTAGTTACAATTGTGTGTAATAACTGCCCCGCTACAGGTACTGAGAACAGTGGCAGGCGCTCACCGGTCACCTGTCCGCGCACTGCGGGCTTGCGGGAAACAGTAACTAGGTCCGATTTCTCTGTTGGATCCTGTGCTCCAGCACACAGGGCCACAGGTTCCGCTCAGCACAGTGTTGACTTGAAGTGACGTAGGTTGATGTATTTACCCCCAGACAGAAAAATAAAGTCTTTCTCACAGGAGCCCGGAGTTCTGAGGGGACAGCCCCAACCATTGAGGGCCTGAGGACAGCAAGCGTGTGCATTCTCGCTGAGGTGTGAGGGCCTGGGCCGCTCCGGGAAGGGGTGGGGTGAGGCCCTGTGGGCCCTCTGGGTTCACGCCTGACTTCCCCTGACACCTGGCACTCAGTCCGCCCTGTGGTGTAGTGCCATGCCATTAGCCGGTGGGATAAGCATATTGCTTTCTATTTGTTCTTCAAGTTGGGATTCTGAGAAATTTAAATTATCAAAATATACAAATAACAATGTAATACTTGTTTCTCACATTCCTGAATTAATTGCTGGAATTCTGTTGTATTTCTTTTAAAAGAAATTCATTTTTTTAAACATCATGAATATATTGGGAATGTAAATTAGTTTAACCATGTGGTACATATACACAATGGATTATTATTCAGCCATAAAAAGAAAACAAATCCTACCATTTGCAACAACATGGATGGAGCTAGAGGGTATTATGCTTGGTGAAATAACCCAGGCAGAGAAAGACAAATATCAAATGATTTCCCCTATTTGTGGAGTATAAGAACAAAGCAAAACTGAAGGAACAAACAGCAGCAGACTCACAGACCCCAAGAAGGGATTAGTGGTTACCAAAGGGCAGGGGGGAAGGGGGAAGGGGTTAAGGGGCACAATAATTTGCAATCACAATATAAGTAGGTCATGGGGACAGCAGTACAAGTAGTGACTCTGTAGCATCTTGCTGCACTGACGGACAGTGACTGCAGTGGGGTGGTGAGGACTTGATAATCTGGGTGAATGTTGAAACCACAATGTTCATGTGAACCTTCATGAGATTGTATATCGATACTTTAAAAAAAACCATGAATGTAGGTAAAGTCTTCATTAACATTCTCCCTACCAGAAAAAAAAAAGATGAAGAAAAATCTTTGTGCGAGGAGGGGCTTGCGGGTAGGGGTTAGCTGGTAGCCACCTTCTTGTATGGGGAGAGTCTCCGTAAACTTTTGGGGAAACCAGCCATGATCAGTGAGGCTGCTTTTCAGCATGAGCTTCTGGAGTGACAGCACAAGATTACTTCATTGCCCTGCTAAAAGACTGCTAAAATTACAATAAAAGAATATGAGAGATAGAAAACCAGAGGGACGGAGGAAATGGGGGAAGGTATAAGGATAGATCAGTACTTTCAGCACGTTTTTGGAAAATAGGAGATGGATGGTACGCTGGGGTTAGTCCAGGCATTCAGAACGTGCCCTGCATTTCGGGGGCTGGAGGGCTGGAGCCGTACACTCAGACCCTGCGCCTGCAGGCCTCCGGATATTGTTTAGCTCGGAGAGCCTGCCCATGAAATGTGGAAAGCAGGGGGAGGTAGAATCCTTCCTCTGCCAGTGTTGTGTGTGCTTAGGGGGGAAGTGACTGTTTGCAGTGGCTTCCACCTGCCTACTGGCCGGCCAGCCATCGCAGGGCTGCTGAGCAGTTGTGACATGGCAGCGTTTCTCTGCAGGTTTCTCCGCTGTGAAGGGCAGGAGAGGCTTCCCAGCTCTCTGCACTGCCACTGCCAAGGTGAAATCGGAGGAGATGGCCCACGTTACTTCTGTCCACGCTCGAGCCCTTTCAGTTTGGAAGGCACCTAATGTCCTGAATTAAATCTCTTGTGTGGTTGAAATACCTAGCATGGTTTCAGTTCTCCTGACAGAACCATCTTTGATATAAATGGGAACTAACAAAAGATGTGTACAAGTTTTAATGGGGAAAAATGTATTAAGCCCCATTAAAGGCAGCTTTATTAAGAGGCGGTAAAGGAGACTTGAATAAATAGAGACAGGATGTTCTTGGCTAGGAAGACCCAGTATGATGAAGCTGCCGTTCTTATATCGATCTGTGGATTCAGTGCATCTCCAAAGGGTTTTCTGGGAAATGTGACAAGTTAGTTCTAAAATGTTGGGAAGAGTGAAGTCCTAATGGTGTCAGGGCACTTTGGAGAAGAGGAGGAGCGGGCCCTTGCCCCCCGGTGTCGGTGCTTCTGCTAGTTGGCTCAGGGAGGCACACACTGGCCAGGGGGACAGAAGTGCTGCTGGGCACAGCCCTAAAAATCTTGACCTACGGCAGAGGTGGAATTACATATCGGTGGGCAGGGGGTGGGCCCTCAGTACATGGTGCTGTGTCAGTCTGGAAAGAATGAAATTGAATCTCTAACGTACGTCTTACAGAAAAATCAGGTTCCCATTAATTAAAGAAAAACTTCTTGAAGACAGTATAGGAGAATACCTTTACCACCGTGATAGGAATTTTGTTTTTAGTCACAAAAAATGTTAATTCTAAAATTAAAATGATTGTTTTTACCAGATTAAAATTAAGATCTTCCCTTTATCAAAAAGTGCCAATAGAATGTGAACAGACAAGCCACAGAATGGGAAGGTATTTTTCGACACTCAAAGCTTGTAATTGTAATTCAGCACATGTAAAGAACTCTTACAAATGGACAAAAGACAAACAAACATGTCAGAAAAATTAACAAGGATGGTGGTTAAACATATAAAAAGATACCCAACCTCAGTAGTATTCTAAGACTAGATGAGATACCACTTTACAGATCCTTAGACTGGCAAAAATTAAGATATCTGACAGAACCAAATGTTGGAGAGGATGTAGGTGTCCTGGAAATCTTTTCTGCTCTTGATGAGAAGGATAAACCCATGCACTCACTTTGGACAACAGGCATTAACTTGAAAAGCTGAGCATTCTCATAGTGTACGATCCAGGATTTCCATTTGGGGAAACTAAAGAAATCTTTGCAGCACTAATATACATCCTGGAAATAGCCCCAAAGTCTGTGTCCACACGATGGAGTTTTATGGACCAGGAAAATGTTAAGTTCTCGCAGCTACATGGATGAATCCCAAAAACAAATAGGTAACAAAGGCAAGTTGCCAAAAAGTACATACAGCACAATAAATACAAGCAAAACTGACCATTATCCTATTTACAGTTATATCCACCTGTGATGACCTGACAGAAAGAGGCAGAACTGTGAGGCAC